AACGTTTTATAATAGAAATGGTATATATCAGTTGAGAAGGCCATTCTTTGTGTTCTATGTGAAGAATTTTTAGAGCCTGTTGAAGTCAGTAAAAATATGTTTAATACTACAAAATATGCCGGATGTTACAGTTACTGCACTTGCCGCCCAGATCACAAGAGAACATCCCAATTGATTTGAAGGGTTTTGTGGAAACTGAAATAGAAGCACGCATCTTACTTAATTTAGGTTTAAACTCACATACTGACTTTATTTGTAGTTCATACGGTTTTAATATCCTGTATTTTATTTCTCATTTATAGGGAAAGCATTTAATTCCCATTGATATTCTCTATTTTTACAATAAAACTCACCAACATCTTCTAATATCCTCAGTTGTTGCGTCTACCGAGCTGCATCAAACACATCACTTTCCTTGAACCCATTGTGCAGTTCACTTTAATACCACATGCTTTATGTTGCTGCTGATTGGACTGTAGTTCTGACACACCCACCAAACATAAGAACACGTATCTCAAACCCCGTTGCACGCTGGTGCATGCCGTTTCCAGGAAACATGGCGTTCAACCCGGAAACCATAGCAAATTAACGTTGTGCACCATTTTGAACTTGAACTTGATTTTTACTAGTAATGTCCAGCATCAAAAGTAGGTGGAAGCTACAAACAATTCTGGTAACTATATAAATAGGATCCACTGACTGAGTTCTACAAATTATTTTTGGAAGCTGCTGAGTGAGAGAAAATGCTACGTCTTATACACATATGCGAAACTAATATTATTCAAGAGCAAAAACAGAATTTGGGTCCTGGGGCAATTGCAGCCTACATTGAAGACAAGAAGGATGTGATGTGGGCTAAGCATATGCATAAAACATTACTTTAGTGTTTATATCTTTTGACCTAAAATGCTATGCTAACTGAAACAATATTTGCTGTCTTTCAGAATACATGCTTGCGTACAAGAGCTTTTAGTCGAATCTTGCCAAAAGCTTCTTTTTTTTATGTTTCATAATTTATTTTGCTCGGGAATTGTAAAAAAAAAAAAAAGCATTACTTAATTTTTTGACAGCTTATGCAAGAAATAATTTAAAAAAAATCTCAGTCACTGTATGATTCATCCTCAATCAGGTTAGATTTCCAACACTTGCGATTATTAATAGATGCTTGTGCTGATCAGCAGGACACCCAATAGACTATTTCACATTTTTCTTCTACAGTAATTCATGCCAAATCTCTTGAATGATTGTAATCTTTAACATTCTCAGCACAAATAAACGAAATGAGAGAGAAAATATGTTTTAAATGATTGATCAGATGTGATTTATGAACCTCATTCAGAGAGTAAATGACTATTATATTCACATTTTTGTACATTTACAAGATGTTGCACACTATTTCTAAACTCCCTGAAATGCCTTGATTATAGACATTTGTTCTGAGGATCTATATTGACAGAAATGCAATATAAGATTTATAGCTATGTGTTCAGTGGTGTATAAAAGGGGGTGTTGATTGCGATTGAACTTTTTTCATTTTAAATAGTGTGTAATGTTGCTGTTGGTGCATGAACAGTATCTGCAAAGTTGCAGCGCTGAAAGTTCAATGTAAGCTGAGATATCGTCTTTTAAAAATCAGGAAGTTTAATGCCTAAAACAACGACTCGAATGGGACTGCAACGGATTTTAGACGTCACTAACCCATACATTTGCATCAACCCTCCCTCGGGAATATGCAAAAAAGGGCATTACCATATTTCTGCGCCATTAGACTATACCTCTCTCTCTCTCCCTAGGAGGATTTATTTTATCAAGCACCCAATAAGTAATGGCCTAAAATCTTCATAGCCACACCATAGCAACCAGTTACAGCACCCTAGCAACCGTGGGTAATATTTTTCCTATTTAAAACTTGACTCTTCTATAGTTACATCGTGCACTAAGACAGATGGAATATATAAAGTTGCATTTTTCTAGGCTGATATGACTATGAACTATACTCTCATTCCTGCGTAATATCGAAACACTTTGGTAATTTTTTTGGGAGAAATGCTAATGGTCTTGTGCACTTCAATGATGTATGCTATGCTAAAAGTGGTACCGCCAAAACCGGAGATCGGCTAAATGGATTCAAAAAAGGTAAAACACAACAGTTTAACTCTGGGGGAGTTGTAAAATGAGCGTATTTCCAAAAAAAAAAAAAAAAAAGTGGAGTATCCCTTTAAAAGATTGTACACATCGCAGTATTCCTCATTTAAATAATTCTCCCCAAATGCAAAAAAAGAGGCCTGGTTGAGTTGCGTTAGTAGTGTTATGGTAAGGTTATGGAATGGGGCGTGGCATTTCTAAAATGCGTTGGAAGCAGCTGAGCAATCAAAACACACTGGTCCAGTTGACCAGTCAGAACACATGATGCTTTTCGGAAGGAGGGGCTTCATAGAAGCTGGAACTAGCCAGAGCGTTAATGACTCGGAAGTATGGAGCCGTGTGCACGATTTATTAACTCGTTCCCTCAATTTACTAAATCTTGCACACGATTTACTATATCGTACGCTCGATTTGCTAAATTCTGTGGAAGATTTGCTGATTTACAAATCGAGGGACGAAATAGTAAATCGTGCGCACAATTTAGCCTAATATTTTTTTTTTTTTTTTTTGTGCTGGGCTCTGTAGGGAAGAAAGGTGCTGCAACAATTTCAAATATGTAAAAAAAATAAGGTGTTCTTTGACCATTCAACCATTAGATCTATTCCAGCAAGCCACAAAACAAAACCAAGACTTTGTAAAAGGGCAAAATATGTCACATTTAGAGGTCAGAATTGTTCTTAAAATGCTCTTCCACCAAATAAATATGATGCAATTATGTGTGTGAGCTTGAAGAAGAGACTGAACAGGAACATTTTAATGAATCAAAACAAAGCAGCAGTGCCACTTTTCTTTTAAACAGAAATCAAAGCAATGAAAAATAGTCAGTGGCACAGTGATACTGTATGTTAAATGTTGCTAGAACTGATGCTGACAGCTTGGCACACTTTTGCTTGGCTCTTTTAATACATTGCACTATAATGTCTCTGCAAGGAAAGTGTTTAAGGCCACCTACATGTTACCTTTAACAAACTATTTCAAGTTTCTAAAATGACGTCCATCTGTGGCAACACAAGCAGAAGAAGGATGCTCATGTTATGGTGTAACCAGATCTAAATGGCTAAGGTCTAACAAAGGTAATTTCTGAGATATGAATCAACATAAGTACTCTAAAATCCGGTCCTATAGGGCCATTACCATGAGGTTCCAGTGTGTACTACAAGGGGACCGTGTTGTATAGGAAGATTATCCCTATTGCACAAGTAACCAATATCCTTCTGTGTGCAGTCTCACATTGTACACAAAGCCATCAGTAGTACATAAAACAAAACATCACGGGACACTGGGCGCAAAAGCACTTCCGAGCAATAAATGGTTAAAATGAAGAAATCTTAATATGTTTTCCGTATCATAAACTGCGAAATGAATGTGCGAGTGTACATTTAGCATGCTACTCTCAGTGGAAGAAAATGAGAATTGTTTTATTACAACAGCTATATTATGCACTGTCAAATAGCATTCTATTTTTTTTTTCTTTTATAGTCTGTACATATGAAAATGTGATGTGCATTATATTATTTGTATTATGCATACGCACAAATCATATGCAAATTGCTGAAGTGAAATGCTCTAGCCATTAAAGCAGTGTGTTTATTTATTATGCCATTAAACTTTCCAAAATGAACACAAATAAAACCAGCTGTCGGGGTGTGTTCCCTACAATCAGGAAAAAATATTGTTTAAAAGAATGAAAGGTCTATCAGGATTTATATAATCAAAGTAACAAAAATCATGGCAATGGTGTTTATTTAGGATTGTCCTGCCATTTGAACCTGACAAGCTGTTATATATGATGTAGGCTATACACGACCCTAATAATGTGGCCCGCCAGGAGATGTCACTGTCGTGTGACACCTCAAAAGCAACGTCAACTTATGAAATAGAGTTACTTATGAAATTTTCAATTGTGTACTGCACACACTTCTTGGTAATATGTTGTTCATTAAGATATTTTGTTTTAAAATTAAAAATTGTCGTAATAACATTGTTGTTTTTATTCCAACCAAAATACATTAAGCCACAAAACACCCAGAACAGCGTTTTAGTGTCTCCTCTGTTTACTGTGCACCTTTACTAACTGTAATAATAATAATTATTATAAAAATGATTATTATTAACTAAAACAGACACCGCCTGTAATGTTGATAGATATTAGACTTTCTTTTATGTATTTATATTTCTGTCTTAAATTTTCCTGTTTTTTTATTTAATTAAAATGTTTGCTATATATATATACTATACATATTTTTTCCTTTTCAGATAAACTGTTTAAAATAAGTTTTGATCGTGACAATATTCAAAATTTATTTTCCATTAATGCTACCAGCATCATATTTAGCTACACACTCCGAAAAAAAAAGTACAAATGCTGTAAAGTTAAATGGTGTGATACCCCTTCGGATGGTACTAATATTTAAGGTATTAATATGCACCCTTAAGGAGTAAGTAAGGTACAAATGTGTATCTTTTTAAAGGGTACATTTCTAGTGACAGCATTTGCTACCTTTTTTTTCTAAGAGATAATTAATAGATTTTATAAACTTGGCCGAATCTTATTTGTGTGCAGACATATATGCAAATATTGTATCAAAGTAATATAGCACAAAAAAGCCATGGTCTCTCCTAAGAATTATGTGAAAAAATCCATTGAGAAATATTGGGATCACAAACATCTCTGAAGAAAAGCATTTCTCTTATGGGAATCCTGAGCTGAACTTTGAGTTGATCATCGTCTCATCTTATTTCTTTTGATCTTGGGATGAAATGTGACCCTGTCATGCTTTCGTGAAATATATTCACTTGACGGACGCATGGAAACGTCAGAGCGGTCTGATTGTAAAGACTCGTGTCACGTGACTGCTGTGAACCGAACAGGTTTGAAGGGTTCAGAGATTCACCAGCTACTTTTTCAAACTACAAGTCCAGCGGAACGCAAAGCCTAACGTTACTTAACGCCACAGCTCGAGTGTTGAGACGTAAAGTTAAGTTGTGTGACCTAAGGAGGGTTGGTCTTGAATAAATCTCTACTTTGACGAAGCTCAGCAGCGAAGCCGAACCTCTAAATAGTATACAGACCTGAGCGCTGCACTGTTAAGAAGAATTTAGCCGTTATTTTTTTCGTAAGTCCTCGGGAGTTTTGAAAAAATAGGTTTTCATACAGTGATATCACAACGGAAAGGTTTATCATATGTATCGTTAATAGTTTACCGGGAATGGTTGTGCGGGACTGAGAAGAATTTCAAGTCATCTTTCGGACTTCATCCAGGAAGAAAACACTTTTTTTTTTCATCGGAGCGGACAAGTAAACGTTTATTTCCATCCATCGTTGGACGACGAGCTTGTTCAACATCGCATAACTTCAGGTTAAATATAGCCTACATCGAAAATTCGGATCTCATCCATACAATTTGATGTCAAGGTTACTATAGGAAATTCTATATTGCCATCCAACACGCGTCGTGTAGTTGTTTGCTTGATGCTTTTGTAGATTATTAAACTAACAAGCGCGTGGACGACACTGGCATTGTGCTGTTGTGAGGCGTTTCATGCTTTCACGGGATTAGAGTTTGAATTAAAATCTCTGGATGGACGAAAACGACAATATCCCGTGCCGTGTGGATTACTGAGAGAGAGATACGCGTGGGAATCGAGACACCTGAGCCGGATACCTGTAACTTTTCTCTCTCTGTCGAAAGCTCTTCACCATACATGAGATTGGGCTTTCTGTCTGTCGCTGGTTGACACGGTCTTTTTTTATTTAACTCCTACTGGTCTGGTAGAATGGACGTGATAGCCCTAGATAAAGTTCACCAGCATCACAATCCAACAGATTCTCGCTGGGAATTCGTCGCTGGACTGTAGACGTCGGTCGGGAGATATTTTGGAGGAGCGCTGTTGTTTATCATCACAAACGGGATTTATTCGTGGAAAAACTACGATGTCCGTTTTACGCTCTTGGATGGAAACTCTGTTGCTGTATATGTTCATTTCAGATGGTAAGTCTGCTTACGTTTTTTTTTAAATAGCCTATTCATGATATGTGGGTGTTGTGAATGACTGCAGCGTATTTTATCCTGTATGTTGGGATGCAGTGGGTTTTTGGAAGTCTTAATTGGTCATTCAACACACATACACTAAAGCGCAGAGCTGAGATTAAACCGATTTTAATGCTTCAAGTTGTTGTTTTGTTGCTGTCTCCAGCCTTGGTGGGCAACGTAAGCTTCAAGTGCGCCTTTTTTACTTCATATAATGCTTTATGTTTTGTTTTTTTAACACAACATACACTTATTATTCAAGCATAGCAACTGCCCGCAAGGTGGGAGCACGACTAAAGCTTGAGGCCAGTCGTGACAAAAAAATCCCCTTTAAAAAAACAAAACAAAAAAACAACAACAATGCGAAATCAGTTTTTGTGCCTGCTCTGTGAAAATAACTTTTTCTTATTCTAGTGTTGTGATGATGTAAAAGAAGGTTATGAATTAGGGAATGGGGAGTCTATTTAAGACTAACCCCCCAAAGTAGTCAAAACAAAATATGTGGTGTTGAGTGACTTGAAAAGTAGCCTACACAGGCTTGAACCCAAATCTATAACTTTAGGTATTCTAAGATATAACAATTAGGGAATCATGGAAGTAAGGGGGTTAATTCACCAAAAAATCAAAAATGATCCCATAATTTTCTCAGGCTAGGATGGCTCAATGGTGAAAAAAATATGGGATCATTTTGATTTTTTGGTGAATTAACCCTGCATTACTTTCATGATTCCCTAGGTGTATACAGCCCTTTTCTTTCAGCCTCACACATTTCGTATATTAATAATATGAGGAGTGGGAGTATAATAGTAGTGAATGGTACCTTGCTTTTTGAAGCCTAAAAAGTGCATCCCATCATAAAATTAATCCACATGGCTCCAGGGGGTTAACAAATGCCTTCTGAAGCAAAGTGATGCATTTTTGTAAGAAAAAATCCATAATTATAACTTTACAAACTCTACTAGCTTCCGGTAATGTCCATCCGTGCGTTCATGAGTTCTGGAGGAAGAGTGACCTCTAGCCCAACATAATACATAGCTCAAGCTCCTATGACATTTCTCATAAAAAATTCTCATTTTAGAGTTTTATTGTGATTGGTATTTTGTTTTGCTTTATCCTCTGTTTGTCAATACATCATATGTTGGGTCATAGGTCACATAGGCAAAACTCAATAGAACATTCCATTGCAATAAACGCACCCATGAGCAGAGCTGCAGCTCCGCCATCTTGGATTGAACGCAACACAGAGTTTCTTTGTCATTGCTACATTAAACTACTATATAATGTTGAATATAATGTATAATAATGCAATAAGGGAATATTTGTGGGTCCTGATTCAAGTTACCACTATATTAAAGTAAGCATATTCGTCTAAAATAATTCAGTGTTTTCAGCTTGAGAATCATGAATATATTTATTCTGCTGTAACTATTGTCCTGTGCATTGGGTTTCCAGGATCAAGTCCAAGCCTATTCATTTACACCAACAATGTAATATCAAATTTTACATTAATCAACAGTTAATTTTTTTGTTAACCTTTTATCATGTCTTGGAGTATCGCAATAATCGTATCGTGATATATATCGAATCATGACACGAGGGTATCGTCCCTATTGGCTATGTATATTTTGTTTCATATGTAATGCACGCAAACAAAATGTAGCCTAGTATGGTGCTAAATTGTATGCACGTAAATCATTTATACGCAAAAGGCCATTTATGCATATAAAGAGCACGCAAAGCTCCTCTGTGTACAGTTTATCCCAGTTATAATTTGTTCATCATGCAGATTGTGTAGTCTTCATTTTTCTAATAAAATTCATAAATGATTCTTAGGTTGTTTTGTCTGTGTAGCCAGACTATGATGTGCAGTTTCCCAAAACACAAAAGCCTTTTTATGTTGCCTATTCCTATTGTAGAAGTTTGAGTGGTATTTTATTTACTGAATGAGATTGATCGGTATTGGAAACACAGTTGTTTTCTTTACAGAACAGTTATCACCCTTACATTTCCCCCAAAGATAAGTTAAGACGTCCTGTTTTGTATTAGTAGAAGTTCATGCAGTAAATGATTCGGGTGTTTAAAAGGTAAAAAAAAAAAATGCTTTACGCTGGGTCAACTCGCACAATCACATCCTTGCTTTATGAACCCTTGGAGCCATATGGATTATATGATGGATGCAGTTTAATTGGGCTTAAAAAAGAGGTACCATTCACTCCCATTTTACGTATAGCTTGGAAGAGCCAGGATATTTTTAATATAACTCCGATTGTGTTTGGCTGAAAGAATAAAGTCATACACCTAGGGTGGCACATAATTATAGGTTATTATTTTAGAGTCAGAACCATATTATGGCATCATAGTGTGACTAAGATTATTACATTGACAGTCATCAGTACGGAAGAGATATTTCTTTGAAATATCCCTTTGAGGTCTGATCCCATCCCTTATTTTCCTTTCATGAAACCCTAAGAACAAAGGCAACATCATTTGGGATTCATCAAAGTCCTGAGGGTTCGTTATGTGACTTGACTGTAATCTATGGTATTCGACAGAAACTTGGATACGAGGAACACTAGAAAGAGGGAGTTTCGTTTGTAGAAATGTTTTGATTTTTAAGTAATGAGTTATGCCATGGGAATTGTTAGTTGATTTCAATTTTGTTCAACTTGCTTGCGCATTTCACTCTTCCGTGATTCATACCTTGAACATATAGAAGGCAGGAGCAATGGAAGGTCAGACGTGCTCATTATGTCATCTGTCAGGCACTGTCCAATACAATCGCGCATGTTTTGACAACAATGCCATTCAGTCATGCGTTTGCATCTGTAATCCAGACAGCCTTCATCTGCGGTTGATACTGATGTACTTGGGCAATAAATTGGGCCAGCGCAAGTGTGTCTCCCCCGCTTCCAGTTACAGTGTGACTGACAGGAACCAGGCATTAAGATCAAGGAAAACATCAACAAACCTGAGACGTGCTGTGAGCTCTCTAGGAATGTCCTGTTTGTTAATCCACAGGGTTGCACCTGTGCGGAAAGCCCTGGTTCGGTTTCAGAGCGGCTTCCTCGTGAAACCAAATCATCTGGAAAGAAATAGCTTTGTTTTGTACTCTTGTTTTATTTAGTAGGCCTGGGAAGTAGCATCGGTGGAGCGATGCTACTAGTACTCATCCTTATGAAAACAAACCTGAAATTATTTTCGACAACTCTTCTAATTGAATCCTAAATCATCTTTCATGGTCTTAGATGTTTAAAAAGTTTTATCATGTGAGCAGAACAAAGAAAAAGTCTCAGTTGCGTCCTCTTGGGTGCTGCATTTGCAAAATTTAATGGGATAATGTCAAAATCTTTCATAAATGATTCACTCTCATGTCATTTAAATCCAAAGTTTTTTGTTTTTCTGGTAACACTTTACAGTATGGATACAGTATGTTAGTTAAAGGGATAGTTCACTTTGAAATTGATTTTTGATATGTTTTAGCCTACCTCAAGGGCATCCAAGATGTAGGTGTCTTTGTTTCCACAGTATTTTCAATTTTGATAATTTTAGGTCAAACCGTTCTTGTCTGTCAGTCATATACGTATTTGGAGGTATATGGGGTCCACCTCAACGAGAAGTCCATATTAAACATAATTTAATGACTCGTAAAGGTAAGTACACACTGATGGGCTAAGACATGAAACGAGCCTAAAAATGTCAAAATTGAAAATACTGTGCAAACAAAGACACCTACATCTTGGATGCCCTTGAGGTAAGCTAAAACATGCCAAAAAATAATTTCAAAATGAACTATCCCTTTAACTACATTAGTTAAATTGAACTAATATTGAATAAGGGTGTCACGATTTCGATTGTAAATCGATATCGATCAAAATGAATTCACAATCTCGAACTTCGAATTAAAAAACGGAATCGTCGATGCTGCATACAGGTTTATGGCTCTTAATTTCCTTATATTAATTAACCACTAGTAAACTTATGTCCATCGTTTTTTTTTATAAATATAGGATTTGTATTACATCTTCATTTTAGTCGAATTGAGAATCAAATCAGGAATCGAGAATCGAAATCGAAAATTGAATCGAGAATCGAAATCGAATCGAACTGAGAGCTTGTGAATCGAAATCGAATCGAAAATGAAATGTGAATCGATACCCAGCCAGCCCTAATTTACATGCAGGCGCAGAACGCACATTCTAACTGACAGTCGGCAGTAGTTCTCTCGGTGTTTTCAAGTGCAGCTTTGCACCACGACGTGAGGCGACAATACATTCGGCTTTCATCAGCGCTAGTTCATCGGCGTCGGCTTAGTGTGTTCCAGGCTTTAGTGTGGAACTTGCATTTAGTCTGGAACTGTGCAACTGGGCTAAGTCACAGCAGGTGTATAAATCCTGGGAGATAATTGCCAGTCATTTCTTTGAACAGATGTATTTTAGAAACAGTTATCGGTCTCCCGTTCCTTTTTGGTGGGTTTGAAAGATTTAGATATGTGCAAAATTTAGGTGTGCCCACCTTTTGCCAGTTTTTGGAATGCCGGAGCACTAGAACACTCCTTTAGGAATGCGAGGATAGTGCCCGTTCGTTATCAATTGGCCCTGATCTACTGCTTCATGTGCAGTCCTTGACAAACTTGACAGAATTTGCACAGGTTCACCAGGTACTAATGAGATTTCTTAATGGGATTTAGGTCTGTGTGACATTTGTAAACTCAAGCAACCTAATTACCTACAGAATAAGGTCGGTTTGAACCAGAACGGACATGAAAAAAAAAAGTGAAATGTTTTAAATTGAAGCAGGATGTTTTTGTAGAATAGTTATTTTTGGCTGTCCTGGTAAAAGAATATTTAATTTCATCATCTCTTGGCTTACACGTACACCCACTATAATCTGTGGCGCAGCATGTCAAATCATTGATTAATGCAGTAATAGCATTAGCTGGCACCAACAGCGACACGACAATA